ACTTATGTCTTGGACTGGTCTGAAAATTCTTGTCATCCCAAAAGAAATGTCACTGCATATGTCATGCGCTCTTAGGTACTGCTTGTAGGAAATATTAGTGTTCAGAAAGATTATGATTATTATAATGTAATTTACTTCAATTGTCAAATAAGCAATTGTGTCACCCAAACAGAAAATCAGATAGTGGTTTTGCGAATGGGTTCTTAGATTTGGATATTATAGATCTCCAAAATGCAGAACCCCTAAAATTTGATGCAGCCTAGGCTGCACAGGATTTTATCGAACAAATTAGAAAAGTTCTGCCATCTACATCTGCATTTATGCGGTAACTCATTTCCATAGTAATTATTGGAGGAGAGCTGCCTCTTAGATGCATGATCCTTCCGGCGCTACTACAGATGTTTATGCATTCTTTAATGAGGATGGCTGGAAGTATTCATGGTCTACAATTATATGCTACACCGCCTAAACCCATGGTGTAATCCCCTGCAGAGGCTGGTAGTCAATGACGGGTAAGAGGAATACAGGAAATCACCAACCTAAGACAGAGCAAGAGTACTGTGACACTCTTGACTCCATGATGGGTAAGGGATTTCTTTATATTCCTCATCTAAGACGGTCACAGCCTATCTGCATGATCAAGAGACCTTGATCATAATATATAAAACAGGGGGAGATGTGGAGAGCGGTGTTAGCCATAGAGGCTCCATGTTAAATCTTACCGTCCACTGTATAAAGCAAGGAGACTATGTTATGAGGAACCGCACCCTTGCCAAATTAGATGTTTACCTTCAGAAATTGTCCTGGAACATGATGGATGAATGTTTTGTAAACCCGAGAAACAAGAAAGCCCATGAGGGTGGGGAATTTCCAAAGAATTAGAGAACAAGGAAGCAGGTATCTTTGGATAAGGGTCATGATGAATAACCAAACTCACCTGTGATAAAAAGGGGAGGAGAATAAAAAAGCGGCGGCAGTCTCTCTGGGAGCCCTCCCGACTCTATCTCTGCATCTTTCTTTTTCTTCATCCTCACTCCCCCATTCAGGTGCTGTTCGACAAGTGACGGCTGGCTCTGTCACTTTGCTGTCCAGAAGGTTTTTAATGTGATGTGATCCCATTTGTTGATTCTTGATGTTATTTCACAGTTGGGGTTCTGTTCAAAGAGTCCTTGTCTATGTCTTTAAAAGTTTTATCTATTTCATCTCCCAACAGATTGTTTTTGTTTTAACAGTTAGGTCTTTGATCCATTTTGATTTTAGTTCAGTACATGGTGAGATATAAGGGTCTAGATTCAATATTCCAAATGTGGATAACCATTTTTTAAAAAAGGCTGTCTTTCCTCCCGTTTTTGGCCCCTTTGTCAAAGATCCAATAGCTGAGTATGCCTGAGGTTGTTTCTGCATCCTCTCTTCTATTCCACTGATCCACTGTCTGTTTTTGTGTAAGTACCATTTTGTGTGAGTACTATATTTATCACTGTAGCTTTGTAAGATAACTTGAAAGCTGAAATTATGATGCCTCTTGATTTGCTATTGTTCCCCAGGATTGCTTTTGGTATGTTGGGTCTCTTTTGGTTCCATATGAATTTTAGGATTCTTTTTTCTAGTCCTTTGAGGAATGCTGTTGATATTTTAATTGGAATTACATTAAATCTGTATATTAGTTTTGGAAATGTGGCCATTTTTACTGTATTTGTTCTGCTTATCCAGGAACAGGGGATATCTTTCTATTTTCTGATGTCTTCTTCAATCTCCTTTTCCATAGTACTGTCATTTTCATTGTAGGTCTTTTACTTCAGTTGTTAGGTTAATTTCTAAGTGTTTAATTTTTTCTTGATGTTATTGTGAATGATATTGTTTTCCTAATTTCTTTCTCAGTAAGTTCTTTATTTGTATACCCAACTGCTATTCATTTTTGTGTGTTGATTTTGTACCCTGCTACATTGCTGAATTTGATTATTCTAGGAGACTTTTGGTGGAATTTTTTGGGTCTTCTATGTAGAGGATCATGTCATCTGCAGATGATGATAATTTAACTTCTTCCTTTCCTATCTATATCCCTTTTATTTATTTTTCTGGCCTGATTGCTCTCTTTTGAGTACTGTATTGAACAGGCACAGTGATAGTAGACATCCTTGTTTTGTTCCTGATTTTAGATGGCAAGCTTTCAGTTTTTCTCCATTTAATCTGATGTTGCCAGTAGCCTTGTCATAAATGGCTTTTATCAAATTGAGATAAGTTCCTTCTATACCTATTTTCTTCAAGGTTTTTATCATGAATGGATGTTGAATTTTGTCAAAGGCCTTTTCTGCATCTATTGAGATTATCACGTGGTTTTTGTTCTTGCATCAGTTTATGTGACGTATTACATTTATTGATTTGCATGTGTTGAACTATCCTTGAATCCCTGAGATGAAGCCATTTTTGATCATGATGTATGATCTTTTGGATGACTTGTTATATTTTGTCTGCCAGGATCTTTTGAGGATTTTTGCATCTATGTTCATTAAAGATATTGGCCTATAGTTCTCTTTTTTGGTTGGATCTCTGTCTGGTTTTGGAATTAGGATTATGGTAGTTTCCAGGAATGACTTTAGGACTAATCCTCCCCTTTCAATTTCATTAAAGAATTTGAGGAATATTGGCATTAAATTTTCCCTGAAATTCTTATAGAATTTAACAGTAAATCCATTGAGATGAGCTTTTCTTCGTTGGTAAGTATTTTTATTACTGCCCCAATTTCATTGCCTGTTATTGGATTATTCAGGATTTTAAAATCTTGTTTCAGCTTTGGTAATTCTTATTTATCTAGGAATCTACCCATTTGTTCTGGATTTATTGGAGTACAAGTTTTCAAAGTAGTTGCTAATAATCTTCTGAATTTCAAAGGTGTCTGTTGTGATTTCACCTTTTCATTTCTAATTGTATTGATTGGGTCTTTTCTTTCCTTTTTTGGCAAGATTGGCTGAGGGTTTGTCTATTTTGTATATTCTTCCAAAGAACTATTCTGATTCATTGATTTTTTTTTAAAGTCTCTATTTCATTAATTTCTGCTCAGATCTTTATAATTTTCTTCCTTGTATCATCTTTGGATCTGGATTCTTGTTAGGTCCTCAAGATGCTTTATTTGGTTATTTATTTGGGCTTGCTCTGTTTTTTCTGATGTGGGCATTCACAGCTATAAACTTCTGTCTTAGGTCTGCTTTCATTGTGTCCTATAAGTTCTGGTATGTTGTACTGGCATTATGGTCTGATTCTAGTTTTTGTTTTGGACACAGCAGCTGTACACATTTATGTAACATTTCAGTACATGTATACAATGAGTAATGATCAGAGCAGGGTAATTTGCGTATCTGTCACCTTAGACATTTATCATTTCTCTGTATTGAGGACATTCAAAATCCTGTTAGCTATTTTGAAATATTCAATTGATTGTTGTAAACTTTAGTTTTCCTACTGTGCTATAGAACATTAGAAGCTGTTCCTCCCATTCCACCATACCCTTATATCCATTAACCGTCCTCTCTCCAGCCCTGCCTCCCCCACACCCCTCCCAGGATCTGCTAACAATGGTCGACTCTTTACTTCCTTGAGGTCAGGGTTTTAGTTCCATGCCAGTGAGAACATGCTGTACTTGTCTTCCTGTGCCTGACATATTCCCTTAACAGAATGTCCTCCACTTCCATCCATGTTGCTGAAAATAACTGGGTTTCATTCTTTGGTGGTGATTAAACAATATTCCCTGGTGAACATACACCACACGTTCCTGATCTGTTCATCTGCTGAAGGATACCCAGGTTGATCCCATATCTTAGCTGCTGACACATTTCTGTTTTTATTTTCCCTACCTTGGCCTGTGAGCTTTTGAAGAGTCACAGTGATCTTTGTGTCTGTTGGTTCCTTACAGCTCTAGACTCTTATCTGGGCTTTGTCCTATTAATAAAATGACTGCTTTGCTGTCTTCCACCTCCCTGTGCTCCTGAAGCAGGGTCTCCACATACTGTGAGCACAACACTCAGGAGGCCCCACCAAATCTTCCCACTGTTCTGCAGCAGCTGGAGATCTTACATATCGAGTAAATGAGAACCTGTCACTGAAATTCCCCAGGTGACTGGGACAAACTCTTGTCTTAGAATTTCAGATAAACACGCTTCCTTCATGAATTTGGATGGTAAAGTGATGGTCACTCCATACAGCAAATGTAAGGTTGTGGTCAATGGGGTGCCTATCACAACCAGGACAAAGCTGCATCATTTGGTAAGTTTCCTGCTGGGCCACAGAGGTACCTAAGTCCCCCCCCAAGAGCTAGGAGAGGAGGTTCGTGTGAAGAAACCCCAATTCATGCCAAGGGGACAGGGCATGGCTGGATGCTTCCCACCTTGAAGGCCTCTACTGTGGCCCATAGTAAGGTCATGAGCACAGCTGCTGGGGTGACAGGGCACTCCCAACCTGCTGTTGTCCTTAGGCGAGTCACTTCACTTCTCTGGCCCTCACCTACAAAACAATGGGGGCTGAACTAGGTCATCTCCTGCACACCTTCCAGCTCTCACACTTTTGACATGTGAGATTTTAAGAGCCTGTCCTTGGCAGGGACCGTGCCACCTCTCGCAAACATCAGAGCCTCTTCATCTCCACTCTCATCAAAGTCTCTACCTCCACAGCGACTCCTAGCTGCCCTCTGTGGCCCTCTCCTCTCCAATCTGTCCCCCACAACTGTACTCAGAGAATCTTTTAGATTGGCAAATGGGTTCTGTCGCTTTCCCTCTGGAAGCCCTTCATCGACCTCCTTTCGGGCCCCTGCCTGAGCTCCCCCTGCCTTCCACCTCCTTGAGCGCCCTGGGCACACTGACTTCCCCTTGGTTGTTCAGCAGTAGTTGTCCCTGCCCACCGAAGTGTCTCACACTTGAAATCTCTGCTTAATATTCCATCTTGCAGGAGGACTTCCTTCCCCAATGTAGTAGGCCTCTTGGACACTGCTGACTCCCTGTGCTTTTCTTCACAGGTTCTGATTTCACAGTTAGTCCTTCCATCCTCCAGGGGAGGGGCGTGTTTGGTCTCTGCAGATGCCTCAGTGCCTGGCAGGGAGGCAGCGCTGAGCGGGTGGAGTGAGAGCGGCACACAAAAGCAGGATGGTGTCCTTCCCTCCTCCTTCATGGCTCTCTTCCCTGTTTGGAGGATTTCCCAAGAAAAGCTATTTCTCAGAACCGTCTGGTGCAAGGCATGGGGCCTTGACTCCTCCTGAGGGGCTGACCCCACCTCTGTGTCTGTGTCTCCTCCCTAGGACCGCATTATTTTGGGATCCAACAGTGCCTATCTCTACATTGGGTTTCCTTCTGAGCGAGGCTGTGAAGACTTGAGCAGATTTGACTACGACTTTTTCCAGCTGGAGAGGGCAGCCCAGAAGGAGTGAGTGAGTGTGGCCAAGCTCGGTGAGCACCCCAGCCAGCTTCTCACCTCTTCCATGTGCCGATTTGAGAGCGGATGCTCTCACCGTGTGCCCTCTTGCTTCCCTTAAGAAAACCATTTTTACTGTTTCAGAATACAGTGTGCTCAAAGTTAAAATATGATTCCCGGGCCGGGGATTTAGCTCAGCGGTTCCGGCGCCTGGCTCGTAAGCGCAAGGAACCGAGTTCAATCCCCGGTACCAAAATAAATAAATACAATAAAATAAAATATGATTCCCATCTGAACATAGAGTGAGTCCACATCAAAGATTTATTTAACTCATTAAACTGTTTCCCTTAGGAATAAGGGTACAGACGGCTCAAAGGAGCATAGACGAGAGTGGTATATGCAGTGAGTGGAGGAAAGAATGTTGAAATAAGGCTTTGGGGTTAGATAAAGCCACCTAATGGGGTTCTGTCCCAGTCAGGGGCCTTCCACCCCCTGCAATAATCTAGGACTCCTCCTAGGTGAAGACATTCAGGAGCTCTGCCTTCTGCCTGTGTTCAGAAAGGGTGGGCCCCACTGAGGTGCCCGTGATGCCTTGGCTTCCCAGGTGAGGCACCTACACTTTGTTCACCTTAGGCCATGGGTGGAGAGCAGAAAGATACTACTGCATATATGCAGCGAGTTCCTCCTTTCTCCCTACACCGAAGAGGCTTTCTCAGAATTTTAGCAAAATAAACTGATATGAAATTCACCTCTTTGCTCTTCTTCTGCTAAAGTTCTTGATCAAAGCCAAACAAGTCTCGGTAGTACCAGACTGATACTCCACCTATTCACCCATTTATTCACAGCGGCTGACTGCACAGCTGGCTTCCAGCACAGGGCAGGGTTGAGCCAGCCTCAGACTCTAGGTTGAAGGTGCTCATGTGCAAGGGATGACTGTGTCTCCTCAACAAGGCAGCTTTGTGGGTGACCTGGGGAGTCAGGCTGCAGGGCCACCAGGCACTGTGAACCACAAGCAGGGACCTACAGAGCCAAGAGTTCCCTAAAGAGGTGGCATGAACCTATGTTGGGAGAGGATTGGGCCTCCCATAATCTCCATGAGCCCCTCCTTCAAGGCACCCAAATACACTAGAAGAAGGAACAGTTTGCTTTGCTGTGCTAGGTGAAGCTTCAGAATAAATCCTTAGCCAACTGGATTTCACCACCCACCACCACCTGGAAAATCTGGAGTCACTTTGGATCAAAGGCTTTTTGAGACCAAAAATGGGACCTGAAGGCACAGAGTCTGCTGTCAGGGTGCAGCCAACAGGGTTGAAAGGGACAACTATGTGAATGAATGAATGAATGAGCATATAAATGTATCCATAGCTAGAAAATATCACAGAACAAATGACAGGCTTTCATTTCCATTCACCAGGTGCTGTGAGCAGTGGAGATGGCCCAACAGACCCCAGTGTCCTGGCTGTATTCCAGGACTACATCAAACTCATGCCACTGATTGCAGAAGCAAATCAAATGAGTGAAGAGCTAAAGAAGGTAATTTATCTAGAGCTAGGAAAGAGTCACAGCATAGTGTCAGGTCCAGAAAGGACCTTGCTACCTAGAGAGATGTGGTTTTCCAGAGACCACACAGTGATAAAAACTAGACTAACACCCAAGCCTGCCCAGCCAGCCTGGGCCCCATTCCTGCTACTGCTGGTGTAGGCCCAGTGCCATAACCACCCCATCTGTTATTATTGTCCCAGTGGCTCTCTGGGTCTGGGAACCACAATGACTGCCATACCACTGAGAGGCCTGGGGCTGGAGTCAGCTGCTAGTGACACAAAATTCCAGCCAGAAGGAACCTTGTTAAGACAATTAATCATTTCAGTAAGTATGCAAGCACCTGTTCCAGGATATCATTGAGAAATTCTGGTGTTTTGCCATTCGTCTTGGTAAAATTCCAAGGACCAAAGAGTTGGACCATGTCCTTTCAGAAAGCCCGAGTGTAGCAAGACTACAAGGGAAGTGAATTGCAAAAGGCGATATGAGTTTAAAAATGGACTATTTAGTGAGAAGTATTTTTTTCACCAGGGACTTAAAATGGAATTGAAGGTGAAGAACTTAGCACATCAGACTCCAGGGCCTATGACCTGCAAAAAGAGCTCATGGTGAAGGTGACCAACCAAAGGACTCATGAGGTGAGTCTGTATCTGTGGGCAGGCACAAGCCTCCCCAGGGGGTTTTCTAGGGACACAGGTTATTTTCACAAAAATTTCAAGTATGTGCTGGGGTGCTGAGGCACTTTCCTCCATGTTCCCTCTTCTCGTCCCCCGCCGCCCCTGCATAGTGTCATATCATACCATATCCAACTGGTAATGGTGCCCATGTCCATGTGTGCGTGTGTGTGTGTGTGTGTGCACGTGCACGCATACGGAAGAGAGAGTTGCCATTTTAAAGCAATGGGAAAATCCACACTTTCACAAGACTGGAAAAAGCCATTTTACTGGCTCCAGAGGCAGATACATTCCAATGCTCTCCCCTCCAAGAAGGTCTTTTTTATGGACTTAAGCCCCAGAACCTCACAGGGCTATCTAGTAGTGGCCCTGTGTATGATGCTTTCTGAGCAGCCCCCAGGCAGTTAGCTCTGGTGAACTCTCAAGTTCCCATCCTACGAGGCCCAGCCACTAATTCTCTGGTGGAGATCAGCAGGCTGCTGCCTTCCAAACTCTTAAAGTAAACCCCGCGGTAGCAGGGGAGCCCCACATGGAGGCTACAGAGGAGGGCTGGCATCAGCCATTTGGGAGTCTGCTCTACTGAACATCTGAGACCTCGCTGGGATTCACTGCTCTGCTTGTTACCCTAAAGGTGCCAAAAGTTTCTGGGTCAAAAATCAACATTTTTTTCTTGGTGCTGGAGATTGAACCTCAGGGCCTTGCACATGCTAAGTACATGTTATGCACTGAGCTATAACCCCAGCCCTTAAGAACAGTATTTAAAACCTTTTTAAAATTGTGAAATATGACAAATGTAGAAAGACTATAAATGTATACATTCACATTATGTATATTGCAAACACCTGCCACCCAGTTCACTGGGTTTCATGTGCCAGTTGCTGACACTGCCAGGCCTGAATCCCGGGCTGTGAACTCCTGGCATCGCTCAGGCCTCCTCCACTCAGGGGGCGGGTTTGGTGCCCGCTATGCTTACATTCACTGTGCTCGGGTCTCCCTGTGGTTCGGGAGGGTCCCCAGTCAGTCTTGACATCTGTGCTGTGTCCCCTGGGGCCTGTGTCCCACTGTGACCCCTCAGTGTGTTTGTGCCTTTTGTGTGTTTCCCCAGCAAAAATAGCTTTGGTGTTGCCATTTCCCCAGGTCTCCCGAGGGCCACGCTTTCCCCTCCAGAATTTGGCTTGGCAGTTTCCTATTGTCTCGTCAGACCTGGGTTTAAGGAGATGTGTAATTTTTACATCTCTTATCCCTGTTATTCTGGGGGGGTTTTCTTTTGTGTCATTAAGGGTAATCTGAAGAAATATGTGTTAATGAAGCCTTTCTAGTTGCTAGCAGGATTACCTGAATTACATAGCCTGCCGTTACCAGAAGTAGGACACAGGGCAGTTTTCACATTTTTTAAGTGAGTGGCATAGGAGAGCTGAGGACTTGGGGACATTTAGAGATACTATTGTCCTTCAACCTAACATCACTGTCACAAGCACACACAGTTCAGGATTGCTCCTGCATAAGCCATGCTGGATTCTCTCAAAAAGAGTTTGGGCACTAATTTTGTGATAATTTTTTTTCTACTTTTTTAATGTAGAGATTCATGGAAATGATCTGTCATCTTTAAGGTTGTCCATTTGTTTAAAAAATATTTTAAAAAATAAGATCAGTACCAGTGACTTTTCCTAAAATGAAGTCCTGCTTTTCTTGGAGGTCTCCAGAATGCTTCTGTTTTCTTTTTTTTTCTTTTGGTACTGGGGATTGAACTCAGGTCCTTGCGCTTGCGCAGCAGGTGGCAAAACCACTGAGCTAAATCCCCAGCCCTCCAGAATGCTGATAGTGACTTCTGGTAGTTTTTTATGACACTGTGTGTGTGTGTGTGTTTATATGAATGTGTGTGTACTCATACATGCACGTGTGCTTCTGAAAGCTGAAAGACTAGACTGTAGGGAGCAGCCATGGGCCCTGGGTGTAGACCTGCATGACATGTTTTGGTGGTTGGTCTTGTAAATGTTCAACCCTGTAGTGAAAGGACTATGAATGCTCATCACTCTCGTGCAACTGTTAGTCACCCATCCAGGAAAAGTCTGGGGGCAAGCCAGAGCTTTGCAAGGACTAGGCAGGGTTTTCTAAACTGTGACCATTGCCAGTTTGCAGCTCCTTTACAGTGACACTTGCCAATAGCTGTTGGCTCAGGTGAGCAGCACATCTAGCAGGAAGTCTGAGCCAGGGTGGTGGGCCTACCTTGGGGCAGGGAGGGAGCCAACACCAGTATCCAGCCTGTCCCTGGGCTTCACTGACCTGGTTTCCTCCTCAGGCCAACCATGACGTCTAATTTCACCTCTCACCAGGCCTGAGGCCTGATAGCCACAGTTAATAAAGTAGTGGCCACACTTCATTACCCTGATTCCCATTATCTTAGTTCCCTAGCCTAAAAGTCTTTCAGAAAAACCAAACTGCTAGAATTCCTGTTGCAATCTGCTTCTGGTAGCATATGCCAACACCATGAGCTCATTAGATCTTACACAACACTGAGAGTACTGTGGTTCTTCACTTTGCTGGAGGCAGCAGTAAAGGAAGGAAATTTGTATTTCTATCACAATTATTTGTTTATTTTTGCAGTACCGGGGATTGGAGAGAAGGCTTTTGCACTGAGCTACATCCCTATCCCCAGCCCTTTTTTATTTTGAGACAGGATCTGTCTAAGTCTTTAAGTGGCCAGGCTGGGCTCGAACTTGTGATCCTCCTGCTCCAACCTGAAGGGTCCTGATAGTGAAGATACATAACACTCAGAGAAAGAATGCCTTATCTGTTAGGGTTTTTTATTCTGGTTGTCAAAAGAAAAATCTTTGGTAACTACTTCTGATACGACAGTTGTAGTCAAGAAATGTTCTAACTTGAGTTCCTCCTGCTGCAGTTTAAGATTTTGTCCCTTGCTCCACAGCAGGTGTTGATACAGAGGCTTTGCCCAGTGAGAGGCAGAGAGCAGCAGGGTCTTGCTCTGAATTTGCTGCTCACTGGGAGTGAAGCCCTGAACAAGGACTGGAACTTCTTTGGGTCTGCAAATTGGAGCTAAGCACATCTGCCACATTTGCCTGCCAACTGCGGACAATGTCTCCTCAACACATGGATGCGAAACTGCTCTGGAGCCAGTTCTCAGCTTGTCTCCAAACAATCTGCCTCTGTCTTCTATTAGTGTGTCACAAATTACCACAAACCATGAAATGACCTAGACTTGCTGCCTTTTAGTTCTGTGGGCCAGAAGCCCATGGGTCCCACCGGGCTAAAAGCAAGGTGTCAAGAGGACCACCTTGCTCTCTGGAGGCTCAATGGAAAATCTGTTTCCTTGCATTTTCCAGCTTCCAGAGGCATCAACATTCCTTGGCGCGGTCATCTTCCTCCATCTTCACAGTTACCCACAAGTCACCTCTCTGACCCTGGTTCTCTCGCATCTTTCTCTGGCCCTTCTGCCTCATTCCACATCAAAGGCCCTTGTGATTATACTGGGTCCACCTGGAAAATTCAGACTAAACTCATTTTAAGGGCAGCTGGTAAGTGAATTTAATTCCACCTGCAACCTTAATTCCCTTTGCCATGTAATGTAAGCATATTTAATGGTCCCAGGGATTAGGACTTTCGAGGACATTCTTCTTTGTGCCATAAACCCAAAACCTTCATTTCTCCTGGGAGTATCTGTTTCTAATTCCCTCATCATCTCCTCTGAGTCACCTCCTAGACTCAAACAACTCAATGCTGGAGCGACAACAGGTCCGGGATGAACGTGGTGTTCTTGAAGGGCTTCACCAAAGCTAAATTTGCTAAAAGTAGTATGTGGTCTTGGGCACACAAACCTCAGCCATTAGAGGGTTCATGCTGGGAAAAATCAATGAGATGAAGTTACAGCAGCAGATGAAATAAAATATTGGTGCCCTACCTCTATGTTTTCAGGTGTGGATTTGGTCAAAAGTCAAGTTTATCAATAGGAAATTCCTAATGGAGGAACTTTACCAGCATTTTCTAGATAGAGAAGACAGCCCTGTGGCTCAGGAGGATGACCCTTTCTGGGATCCTGTCGAGGTCATCCACTTGGGCTCAGCCCACATCTGGCTCCAGTCACTTGCCTACTGTATGCAGTTTGAGGACCAAGTGGAGTTTCTGAACTGTGACGGGCTGGAGGAGGCAGTGCTGCACATCCACATCACCCCTTGCTCCCCAGCAGGACAGTGGGTATCTCCTCTGCCCCTTCCCTAGTTCAGGGTCAGTCACACACAGCAAGCTTGAGTTCCCCTGACGGGGTGGGCATACCTGAAGTGGTCATTTGTGAGACACATGAACACATTCACTCATGAGTTGGCCTCACTGAATCTGACATTTGCCATACCCAAACCAGCTGACCTGGAATGCCCAGCAGCATTCAAGACAGCTCAGCACTGCCCTGGGGACCAAAGGAATGAAGGATCATCCCACAGAGGCAGGGAAGTAGGAGGTGTAGTAGAAGGAGACTTGGCCAAGAACCAAAAAACCCAAATTGGATCCAAGAAGTGGACCCTCAGAGAAGGAAGCCAGTGTGTTGTGGGACTTTCCCTCACAGCCTCTCCTGGCACTGAGGTCTCGTATCACACACAGGATGCTTGTCCATGCTGACGGTCCAACCTGCTGATGAGGCCCAGGACCCAGAAGCAGAAAGATGATTTTCCTACCTCACTCCTTCTCCTTGGCAGAGGCCTGACCACTTTCTTTTCTCCTCAAAGTAGGGATTGAGATCCCTGACCTCTTCCTGGGCTATCTGATCTTCTGTGGGTACAGGCTTTGTTTTAAGCTCTCAGTTCCATCCTAACTTCCCCTCAGGATGTCTGTTTTTTTCTCTTGGGCCACAGGAAGTTTATAAAAAGCTAAAGTCTTTTAGCAATACTAAACATAGATGCTGGCAGGGGCCTGGTTTGGATGCCAACATCTCATAGGCATGCAGTGCACCTTTTTGTCTTGCTGAAGAGGAAACTAGCTCAAGAAGGGTGTAAAGAAACTTAAGGTCCTGTAATCAAGAGACCAAGCCGACTTACTCAATGTCTCTGCTGGGACTCCAGCAACCTTCTGGTCATTTGGCTACCTTGCCCTCTAGGCTGCTTACTAGTTATACTACAAATTAATAAAGTGGTACTCTCATTTATGGGTCTCAGACTTTGTGAGCTTGGTTGATGTGAGAGGTCCTCTGTTGAAAAGCTTGTCCAAATTAGTATCTGAGCTTGCAGTCCTGAGATGAACTCTGAACTAAAAAGAATTCACCCAGGAAAATAATTTTGGAGGCTGTACCTGGGCATCCAGCTGGCTTTCCCTCCTTCCCTTGGGGACCTACCTAAATCTTCAGTGCAAGTTTAGCACCCACACCTGTGTGCATCTATTATATGGTGCTGTTTACAATCTGTTCTCCTCCAGGCTGTGAGCTCCTGAGATGCTCCATTATCACCTTGAAGCAGAAGGGTAGAGTGGGCTCCTATTAAGTCTCTTGAATGAACTCAACAACTGGTAATATTACCTACTCTTCCTCTGGTGAAATTGGCTATTCCTTAAGGATTCTCTTTCCTTCCCTTGACATCACAGTACTAACTTGCTTGCACCCAGCATAATCTGAAATCAATGTTCACCTCTTCTGTTTGTAGAGCACAGAGCGAGGAGGATGTGGTTACTGACCCCTTGGAGCTGCTGGGCAAGAGGATTGATTTCCAGATTCACACTGTCCATTGCCTTGGCATCAAGTGGCTAAAGGAAGATGCAAAGAGGGGCATTCAGATAAGGTACCAGCCTGCATCACAGAACTGCTGGCACAGACTTCGTACTGTGTGACTCCTGGAGGGAGGGAGTCTTCCTCAAGCTTAAAAGATGAGTTTATCATGAAATGTTAATCTTCCTGTTTGCCCAATTGCAAAATGACCCCCCCTCCCATTAGAAAAGCCGCATGTCCCTCTACATTACTGCACTGTGGTTAGGTGGTACTGAACCTTTATGTGATTGAAGCAGTAGAGTCTAATCTTACTAGAATGAGCATCCAGTGAAACTATATTAACTAAGTACAATGTTTTTGTTGGAAATAAAAGAACTGTACTACAACATGATAGATGCACTGTATATGGTTAAACTGATTAGGTTGCAAGCATACTGAAAGATGAAGCAATAAAGAAAAGGATACTTTGAAGAACAAAACTAAACCACCTTACATGGAAAATTAATAATTTTACAGTATCTAAATAGAAAAAATCCTTCTTCCCGTTAGACATTATTAGTCATGTAGTGATGACAGCAATGTTAAGACGTGGAGGCAGCAATCATGAGCATTGGTTCTTAGCCATCCTTTTCTCTAACTGCTGCATGGGTTGTAATTTTTTGGCTCATTGACCCCTCCCCCCACTTTTAAAATGCGTTCCGATTCTAAATTGTATTTTATGTTTCCTCAGTTACAGAATGTATGATCTCCCAATCACTTTATATACCAAACCTGTATGGAAAACTGTGAATCCCCAAATTGAAGAGACTGTCCAATTCACAGCCTTCAGTGCATCTCAGAAGTTTCTGAATTATTTACAGACAAATGCTCTCATAGCTGATTTGTGGGGCCTTCAAGGTACCGTGCTCACTTCTTTTGCATGGTACACTATTCAGTCAGAGGCAATGTCAGTACGCCTCGTGCTGCAGAAGAGGGAAGGAGGGAGGCTTGTTGATCTGGGCAAGACTCGTCTTTCCCCTGGGCCCCTGGCTTCTAGTGCAGCAGGTACTCAGGGTCTGTCATCTCCTCACCCCGCCTAGGCCAGACAACTGAGACTTCCTTTTCTCCATGGTGTCTCTTCCACGCTACAGAAGGCTGTGCTGAGCTGAGGTGCTCTCAGCTGGACCTCATAGTCACAGGTGAAGGCCACATCATGCTAGACACCAAGAAACTTTCCAGTGTGAAGGACACAGGCCTGGTGTGTACCTGTGACATAAAAACTGGCATCAGAGATGACTAGAAAATCTCAGATGGCAGGTGCTTGAGGATCATCAGTGTTTATTCCCTCAACAAGTTTTTGTGACAGATTCCTGATTAGCCTGAGGGGCTTAAGCCTTGCTCACCAGCGTCCCCATCCCAATCCCACCTGGTTTTCCTGAGACAGTAAAAACCGTCAGACTCAAAGGATACGCAGGCAATCCAGCAAAAAGCCGAAACGACATCTTTTGTAGCCTACATCAAATCAGACACTGGAACTTTATCTGAAGACGCTCAAGTTAGAGCAGGAGACGGAACTCCTCAGAAACATAAACAGAACCCTAAGAAGGGAAAATGTGTTTCTCAAGGAATCACTGAAGAAAACTGGTTCTGGTCAACAAGGTGAGACCGCTGCGGTCGTGGTTATTCCCAAGGCCCTGTATTCTTCTAAGGTATGAACTTCTTAATGAGTTAATGTATACAGTATCTTGTTTCATAAACAAAAAAATCCAAGATATTTTTTTTCTTCCCTGAGGTTTCTTGGGATGGGTCCAAACTGATACTATAAATGCAGATATACAAGAATGACACCAAAATATATAAGTATAGAGATAACTACACAGATGAATAAACAAAACTTTCTTTTCTACCCTAGCCCATCAGCTTTCCAATACCCTGAAGATAACTCAGACCACAGGACGACTGCCATCAGCCACTGAGATTAAGCAAATGTGCACTCAGCAAGCCGGCTGCAACAGAGACTTTGCCAAAGCTCTTAAGGCGTTCTACCAAAGCATGAACATGGCACGAGGGCGGTTTCTCAGACTGAGACAGTGTACACCCCCCGTAAGTAACCCAAATCCTGGAGCCTCCTTCCATTCAATTTAGACATTTTAAACTTAGGCATCCCCGATAACTGCCTTTTCTCTGCTTGGGGTGGAATGTGTGTGTTTAAGCAGATAGCAAGTTAAAGCCTTACAAGTGTGGGCCCTCTGCTTTCTCAGGCCTCTATCCATCTTTGTTCTGGCCTTCCTATTTTAGTGCATATTTGGCTAGTTCCACACAGCTATGGCCAGGATATTCATTCTCTTTACAATATATAGGGCCGGGGACTTAGCTCAGTGGTTCTACTGCCTGCCTCTCTGAGTTTGATCCCTGGTACCAAAAAACAAAAAAACAAATCAAAACAAAAAAATACAATATATAGAATATCCCAGAAATTCAAGCTTAGTTTATCATTATAAAACCAAATATAATTCATCACATTAAGAGATTATAAGAGAAAAACAATCTGATTATTTCAATATAAACAAGCAGCATGTAAAAAAATTGAGCATCCTACTGACAAACTAAAAATAAAATAGACATTCCTCAATGTGTAAGGACAATCTCAGGCAAAGAGCTAACATGTTGCTCATCAGTGAATGACCTAAAGCTTTCTTTTTCAGATTAGGGAGGAGTCAGGGATGCTGGCCCATTCATTTCTGTACTTGAGGTTCTAACCAGTACAGTGAGACAAGAAATACAAAGTGGAAGGATTTGGGAAGGGAAAAAGGACTTTCAATAATAGCATACATTTACATTACATTTAGTGACTCACAGCTCACAACCATCCTACGAGACAGGTCCTATTACTGACCTAGTTTACAGTCAGTGGATTAAAGGCACGAGTGAGGTTGGCAAACGTGTCTAAAGATACATGTTCTTAGCAAACTGCAAGGCTCAGATCCCACCTGGCCAGTGGTGCTCCACAGCATATTCTCCCCACTACACTGGGCAGGGTCCATTATTATTCCCAGTTAACATGCTCATATCAGTGGGAAATCCCACACAATTTATAAATAAATCAATAGAATTACAAAGTTCTGGATTAAAATCAATACTTAAAAATTAATTGTATTTGAATATAGCAGCAATAAACAAAATCATTTTAAATAAAAATATCCCAACTATAGTTGTATCAAATATATGAAATACTTAAGCCTACAACATAAAATATGCAGGACTTCTACGAGGAAAAATTTAAAACTTGTTTTAAATGTTAAAGAAGATGCCCTCACAATAGAGAAACATGCCATGTTTCCATAGCTTGGAAGATTTGCTATTGTAAATCTGTCACTTCTTCCCAAGATTCAGTGTATTCCCAAGCAAATGAAATGGAGCCCCACCTCATGATCTATAATTTACATGGAATTGCAAAGACCAGGAGGAAGAACATGGTAGGAAGACTTGCCCTACTTGGTATCAACTTATTTTAAGGTGCTGACCCAAATACAGGTGATGAGGAAAAAGAACAGAAGGTCAAAAAATAGATTCGTTCTAGACTAGAGACTTGATGGTAGACCAAGTGGAGCTGCAGATGAGTGTGGCAACATAGACACTTCCATAAACAGTGCCTGGAGAACAGGAATTCAGATGTTATAGTGTGGATTGGAAATGTGTCCTGAAGGCTCACGTGCTAAAGCCTGGTCCCTGGCTGGTAGGTAGCACTACTGGCAGGTGGTGGAATTTTCAGGTGTGATGGAAGTTGGTCACTGAGGGATGCTCCTGAGAGGGGACTGGGACCTTGGGACCTAGTGTCCACCACCACCCCCCGCCGCCACTTCCTGGTCACCATGAGGTGAACGGTCTTCCTCTGCCATGCACTCCTGCCACCATGATGTACTGTGCAGCCACAGGTCCAGGGCAACTAGACCACAATAAACCTTTCCTCCTTCTAAGTTGTTTATCTCAGGGATTTGTCACAGTGACACAAAGCTAACTAACACGGGGAAAGTGAAAGTGAATTCAATTCTAAAACTATACTTAGAAATCAATTTTAGATGAGAATTAAAGAACTAAAAGTGCGAAAGACACAACACCGTCATGTTTTTTTTTTTTAGGTACCAGGGATCAAACTCGGGTCCTTGCGATGTCATGTTTTTTTATTTTGAGACAGGGTCTTGCTATGTAGTTTAGGCTGGTCTTGCGCTATGTCCTATATGTAGTCCAGGCTCCTGAGTACTGGGATTACAGGCACCACCACACCTGGCACAACCCTGTCACTGTTAGAAGAGACCATCTTTCATGACCTCACCGTCGAAAAGGCTTCTTATGTATGACAAAACAAAGCCAAAAGAAAAATTGGCTTTCAAGAAAGCCACACACCTGGGCTGGGGATGTAGCTCAGTAGCACCCCGCCTGCCTTGCAAGTGCAAGGTCCTGAGTTCAATGCCCGGTACCAAAAAAAACAAAGCCACCTACACTAAAATTGTGAACTCTGACCCATCAAAAGATACCAAAATGAAAGCCAAAAGCGATGGAGAAAATTATCTGCAACACATTTACCATACAATGAACTAATATCCAAATAAAGAACTACAAAAAAAAACAGAGCTAGACAATCCAATAGAAAAAAAATGTTCAAGTGACATGAACAGGAACTTTACACAGGAGGAAATCAAAAAGGCAATGGATGTATGAAAACGTGCTTATGTTCATTAATAGCTTGGGAAATACAATGAGATACCATTATAAGCCATTCATACTAGCAAACATTAAAAAATAACATCAAGACTTGGAGAAGATACGAAACAACAGAAACTCTCATACATAGCTAGAGACATATTATCAGTACAGCCCCTTAAAAATTATTAGGCATTGCCGAGGATTTAGCTCAGTGGTTCCGCCGCCTGCCTCACAAGCAGAAGGTCCCAAGTTCGATCCCCAGTACCAAAAAAAAAAAAAAAATTATTAGGCATTTACCCACTATAGGTTGAAGATACCATACCCTAGAACCCTGCAATTCATCTCCTTTCTCCATTGGTTCTGTGGAAAATTAGGCTCCAGTACCCTTCAGTAGACATTCTCCAAGTGGCCCCTGACTAGCAGCAAATCTCCTCTCAGGATAAGCTATTTCCATGGGATAAGGGATACATCATAAGAGATAAGAGAACCTCCACCCACATGACTTCCTTGCAAACCTCAGAACTTCTACAGTATTGAAAGAATACATAACATTCCAATCTGAAATATTTGGATGATCTCACCGGTTTTGGGCATCCTGGCAGCCTCCAGAAACCAGGTTGCTCCTACGTAGCTTACTGACACTACCAGCCACTTTCAAATGCACTTTTCTACACCAAAGGGAAAACTTACAGCACACCCCATGTACATCCACAAAACATTTCTTACTCTAGTGATATGAAATCTACTATTATCATTTTTTTCTTTCACTTGTTTTTTAGGAAGATGATCAAATGCTCCAGCCGTTTGTATACCAACAGTCACAGATGCTAAAGGACTTTGGGGACCTGCTTGAATCCAGCCTGTGGAAACTGAAAAATGACATTGCTTTCATAGTGAAAAAGAGAGAATATTTACTGCACATCAAACAGTAAGGATGCACAGAGTGAACCCTGCAAACACTTGAGCTCCAAGTTGTAAAGCTCACTGTGGAGACAATGGGGCTTAATTCACCCACTTAACCTAGTTCTACCTTTTTTAATTGAAACAATTTTCCTTCAGTTTGATTTTAAATCATGAAAATGAAACCACATGCAGGATGAAGGTGGAATGAGAGACCAGAGGTAAATGGTTAGCAGACTGAGCTCTGGGATCAGAGCCCAGGGTTAAATCCTGGTTAAGTCCATCATTTATCAATTTGAAGATTTGGGGCAACTGACTTCCCCTCTCTAAGCCTGTCTTTTCTCATCATTATATGGATACATTATCAGTATTTACAGCAGATGGTTAATAAATATACAGCAGTGCCTCAGTTCACAAACACCAGTTTGTGAACAAAAGCGTCTGGCAAAATTTTGCTTCTGTTCTCAAACTCTGCATCGGGTGATGAACACGACCACAGCCATCTTCTCCACACAAACACAAATGTGGCCATCTTCTCCAGAATTGTGGAACAAATTAAGTTTGTGAACCAAGGTACCACTGTACACACTTGCACACAGAAGTGATCAGTAAGCATTTACCATTAAAATTTAGTTGTGGTGTTGTGGCTGCCTTGATGTCCTGAATTGATTCAAAATGTTTACCTTGCATGGTCATTTTGATGTTGAGGAAAAGCCAGAAGTCACATGGTAAATAAGGTGGATGAAGATACACCATAATGTTTTGGGTTTTTTGGGTACTGGGGATCGAACTCAGGTCCTTGCACAGCAGGTGGCAAAACCACTGAGCTAAATCCCCGGCCCCTACACCATAATGTTTTTACAAGCCTGTATTTCCTTACATGGTACTTGGCAGCAGCATTCACCATATTTTTTTTTTAATCATACTTTGTAAAGACAAGAAAGTGGCTTGTATAACTGTTTCAGAAAGTGCCCAGAATTATGAGATAAGTGTGTTTGAAGTGAGAGAAAGTATTTTGAGGAGGGTTAATAATAATGTCTCTTTTACTGTAATACACTTTTAAAAATTTAAACATTCACTACATATACACAACAGAATACTATCTAGCCTTAAAAAAAAACAACAGGATATTCTGTTATTCGTGAAAACATGGCTGAACCTAAAGGGCACTATTAAGTGAGATAAGCTAGGCACAGAGAGGCAAACACCATATGATCTTATATGTGGAATCTAAAAAAGGAGAACTGACAGAAGGACAGAGGAGAACAGTAGCTACCAGGGGATTAGGGGAGGGTGTAAATGGGGAAAAGGAGATGTTGGCCAAAGGGTACAAAGTTATAGTTAGGAGGAATAAGTTTGAGTGTTCTATCCCACAGCAAACTACGATAGTTAATAGTAATGTGTATTTCAGAATTGCTAATAGGATTTTAAATGTTCCCACCAAAAATATGACAAATATTTGAGATGATATTCCAATTACTCTGCTCACTCTATAATGTATACATGTAGTGAAATGTTATCTTGTACCCCCCATATACAATCACTTATTGATGAAAATAAAATTTAAAAAAGAATCTTCCCTCTTTAAGTTAGACACCCCCCCATCTTTAGTACTGACAGTACAGAAGAGTCTCCTAACATGAATAATATACTTCGATAGATCTCATGCTCCTCATTTAAGAGCAGAAATTCATAAAGGGCAGCTGTCTCTTTTACATAATAAACAACATGAACACTACGTATGTGTTTATGATTAATGTAATAGGAAAAGTCCTTCACCTTATTTTAAGGCTTTAATAAAAAACCTAGTTAAAACATAAAAAGTAAATTAGAGAAAAATTCTGCTTAAGCAGTGAAGATCAACAGAAACTTACAAGCTGTTTTCTTAAAACTAATTTTAGGTACAGAACTAGGGAAAGAAAAATATGACAAGCCCAATTACTGGCAGTAAACAGGTTCAAATCATGTCAAGAAGCACATGTCTACCACTACATAAACAGGACGGTCCAAATGAAAAAACCATCATTGACAACCCTTTATTATTCAACTTAGGTAACAGTCCAAAATTAGTCAGTGTAGACAGATGAAAAACCAGGCTAAAATAGAAAAAAGTGCAGTTTCATTTAGCAAAAGCTCACGCAATATGCAGAGAAACTCACCGGAGGGTGAGGATCCATTTGATCCCACAGCAAGTAAGGCAACGGGGACTGCCGAAGCTGGACTCGAGCCTGAGCACTCTCGCTGAAGAATGCCATTAGCAACAGGCAGGGACACCTGCTCCACCATCTGACCTACCAGCTCATTCGTAAAAATTCATCAGAAACACTTCAATGAAAAAGTAAGTCAAATATTAGTTTTCTCTGACAAGCAATAAAATCATAAAATCAGCTGGGATCTGAAGTTTAAGGTAAGCTAGTAATTTCCTGCTTTTAATGTATAGATATTTTAGATTTAACAATCTTTTCCATATATAGTCAGATAGGCTTATAGAAGAATTTAAAATATCAAATACAGAAGCTGTTAATTCATGCTTTTATGACTTCAGTTAATTCTTCAAATGTTTAGACTTCAGAGCTGCTAATGACACTAAATTCAATACCATGTTGGTTGAGTCTGTCAATCAATTTTGTTCTGGAGAAAGCTGCTCCAGGTGTGAAGACCCCGCCCCTGTAAAACAACAACAAAAGAAAAATAGCTCATACCTCTCCTCTCCAGGCCCTCCTGTGTTAGCAAGTCCATGCAGAATTCCTGAAAACCTGAGTCTTCATCTTATCATGGCTATTTTTGATTCTAGTCCTAAAGTCAGCCAAATGAACAAATGGCTTTTTTTTTCTTTTCGGTACCAGGGATCGAAGTCGGGACCTTGTGCTTGCGAGGCAGGTGGCAGCCCACAAATGGCTATTTTTCAAAAGGTGAAATTAGTGTCACAGCCACTCCTGCTGAGACTGGCTCGGTTCCTGGTGAGATTGTTCCCATGCTACTGGCTGCTCACCATCAACCTGAGTGCTGCTGTTTTTAAAGAGTCTTCAGACTAATGAATAAACAGGACTGAAATTGGATGAAAAAGAAGTTTCTTTAATAGCTAACATTTGCAAAACACCAAATATTTTCAAAGAGTATTTAAGTATCTGAATATTGTAGGTTTTAGTATACAAATTTTACTTTTATTGTTTTGGGTTATGCCTCATTTATTTCTCAGCTGCAAGCTTATGTTCATTTGTAAAACTGGGCTAGTTTTAAGGAATCAGCTAAATGTTCCAGTAAAAGTACATTTGATGGCTATCTAGCCAGGATTCCAGGACTCATTTCACACCTGATGTCAGTCACAGTTTCCCTGCCAGCTGGGGTTCACTCAGCGCTGATTAGAAGCTCCTGTTAATACTATTTAACAATAGCGACCTTTTCTGAGTGCTGGGCTCTGGACTTGAGCTATTTTTATAAGGAAAGTGAAGCCAAATTACATGGTTTCAGACTTCTCTATTTCTTCTGCTTTACCTCTACAGTTATTCACAAAGGCCAGTAACGAACTGACCTTCTCACTATTTTAATTAGCCTATACTTTTGAAACAAAGGAACTATAAATACTTCTGTGCAGAACTACAGCCTGAAAATCAAATAAAAATAACAAAATATAACACAGATAAAAAAGGTAACTTCTCACTAGAAGGAAAGCAAACTTACGCCTTAGGAAGATCAGAGGCATCATTTAGAAGAGTCAGGGCTGCCTGGACCATGGCTATGGGGGTGGCCACATAGGCAGCCTCTGTAGAAAACAGGTGATTAAAGAAAAGAAAGTGTTTATGAAGTCTGCATTCAACAACACTCAAAAATGAACTGCAGATTTTATATCTTATTCTAGGCATATAGAAATTTTTTTCGATAGATTGGTCACTTAACAAAAATAACATTTATTTAGTACAGGTTGAATATCCTTCACCTAAAAGGCCTGGAACTTAAATTTCAGATTTTTAAAAATCTGCATGTACATAACAAGGTATCTTGGGGACGGGGCCCAAATTCATATAGGAAACTCATTTGTTTCCAGACACTGCCTGAAGATCAATTTTGAACAAAATTTTTAGCATGCCTACATTTTGTCTATCAGGTCAGGTGTGGAATTTTCCATTTGTGGTGTCCTACTGATGCTCAAAATGTTTTGGATTTTGGAGCATTTCAAATTTCAGATGCTCAACCTGGATTTATTACATATATTAAGTTTTAGAAATTATATATATTAAATGCTTTAAATCTACTAAACTCAATTTTCACTTAATTTTACAGTGATTAGTATATTTTTATCCCCATCTTGCAGATGAGGAAGCTGAAGCATAGTCGTTTCACCTTGTCCAAACACAATGTAATGCAGTGGGTAAGCTAGAATCACACCCAGGCAGCTGACTCAAGGACCAGACTTTTACTCACGACAGTGCCTGCTTTTTAATATTTGAAGCCAATTACTCCAGTTTTTTTGTTTCCACATAAATACACTAAACTTATACCTATTAACTTTTTTTTTTGGTGGTGGTGGTAATAGGGATTGAAACCACAGCTTTGCACATGCCAGACAAGGACTGTACCACTGACCTATATCCCCACCCCTTCTTATTTTGAAACAGGGTCATGCTAAGAGGTCAGGGTGGCCTCAAACTTAAGATGTTCCTGTCTCAGCCTCCTGAGTAGCTAGGATGATGGATGTGCACCACCATGCCAGGTTCACATATTTAAACAACTCCCAATATCTGCAGGAAAAACAACTGACTATCCCAGTACTCTAGGAGGGTAAAGCAGGAGGATCACAAGTTCTAGTCCACCTGGGCAACTTAGCGAAACCCTATCTCGAAAAGAAAAGAAAAGAAAAGAGCTGAGAATCCAGCTAGGTGCAAAGACCCTGGGTTTAATACCTTCAGCCATCCCTCATGCTCCCACAAAAAAACCTGACTAAACCTGAGCAAACTTAAAAGGACATTTATAGGGCTGGGGATTTAGCTCAGTGGTTTCACTGCCTGCTGCACAAGCACAAGGACCTGAGTTCAATCCCCGGTACAAAAAAAAAAAAAAAAAAAAATTTATAAACCCAGTGTGGTGGAACATGCCTATAATCCCAGCACTCGGGAGGCTGAGGCAGGATGATTGCTGTGAGTTTGAGGTCAGCCTGGGCCACGTAGTGAGTTGAAGGCCAGCCTGAACTACAGAGCGAGACTCTGTCTCAAAAAAAAAAAAAAGTCTATAAGCAAGATGAGATATATATCACTATTTTTACATTCCTGTCCAAAAATATGATGAGTATTTATTTTTTTGGTATTGGGGATCGAACTTGGGTCCCTGCGCTTGCAGAGCAGGCGGCAGAACCACTGAGCTAAATCCGCCAGCTTATGATGAGTATTTAAATTTTTAAAAAATTAAGAACACACTGTTCTTGATCTCCTCAAAAACCTTAACTTTTCATGGTCATTCTGACTTTGTAGAAGAGCCAGAAGTTGCAGTGCCAAGACTGGTGAATAAAGTGGATGAGGATAACAGCAACATCTTTATGAGCCTGCTTTCTGTTCAATAACACTTGGCAAAGCCGGGCGTGGTGTCCCACGCTTGTAATCTCAGCACTCGGAGGCTGAGGCAGGAGGATCGCTGAGAGTTCGAGGCCAGCCTGAACTACAAAGGGAGACCCTGACTCAAAAAACCAAAACCAAAAACAACAAAAACACTTGGCAGCAACATTCACCATATTTTTTAATCACACCTCTAAAGACACTCCCAGAAAGAGGACTTCCCAAACTGCTTCAGAAAGTGGCAAGAATGATGGGATGGGTGTGTTTGAGATGAGAGGGGGTATTTTAGGGGGGTTAATGGCAATGTGTCCTTTACTGTAATATCTATTTTTAAACATTTGCCATATATGTTCATCACCCCTGGTAGTCAACTTACTTTAAAAAACCAGGTGGGAATGTGAAAAGGAGGCAAGATGCAAGTACATCATTGCCACGTGCCTTGACTAAAACTCCCTGTGACCTATTAGGAACAATAATAATTAAACTTATACTATAACACATAAGTAGGTCTGTCTCCATATAGTTCTCTAAATTTTACAGCAAAAGTTCTTCAGGTTTTTTGTTATTGCTGTTACTGTTTGGCAAAAGATCCTTTTAACAAGCAGAACCATTATTGAAAAGTACACATATGCACACAGAGTTTTACAAACAATGACAGGGTGTTCAAAGTCTACAAATAAACCTCATGCAACAGATTTGATTAATTTATAATTATACTGCTTAACTATGAGACTAAAACAGGTAAAACAGCAACTAGCCCCCTTTCTTATTAATAATAATTAAAAATTGCCATTCTGAATTACTGAATAATGACAAAGATGACAAGAAGGAAGGATGCACTAATACAATTGGCTTATACTAAAAATTTCAACCTTTCAGTTGACAGAATTTTAAACTTAATAATTTATGCAAATGTGTTTCTACAATTAAACTTGAAAAAGAATATACTGTAATATCATACCACCTTATAGCTTAAGACAATCTAAAACTCCCAAGAATTCTTAAGTCATCTGCAAAATACCTGGTCCTTTCACCTGAGTACAAATTCTGATATTTGGTTTGTTCTTATCAGTACTAAGGCCTTGGGTATAGCCTTGACCAAAGAATGTCATCGTAAATGATGAGTCATCTATCTGTGAAAAAGAAAGCAAAGGGCTCATTTAAAAAATGTCATTTCCTCCTGGAACACAATAAAACCTAATATTTTACTTTATGAGACAATTTCAATACATAAAAAT